TACGAAGCTTCTTTTGCATGAAAAAAACGGACAAAAGTCTGCAATTTGTGCAATTTGTGTGAAATGAGAGCCGGCTCTTAGAGCACACGGGCACGGCAGACAGAGTCAGACAAACAAAACATCAGGTACATTTATACAACTACCTTTACAAACAGCGCTATTGCCAGCCGAATAAAAAGAAAACGTCATTAGTGACACGCTAAAACAAGATCATACAATATTTCAATAGACTCAATCAACATAACAAGTGAACACAAGGTAACACGAAGACGGCATCATCGATGTTCTTACCCCAAAGGACCCACAGAAGCCAATCATCAGTATCATCTCCCGCAAACCGCAGGAGACGTGCATCCCGATCGCTGACCCAACAGCAAAGACAGTCCAGAACCTTTTCTGTACGGCCACTGAGCGGCAATGCTAGCGCTACCGCGCTAACCATAATGATGATAATGGTGAACCCAACCAAGTACAGCACTACCTATCGCTCGGCGCTTGTTAAACCAAAATGCAATCTCAATGGGGGTGCTATTACCCCCTGTAAAGTCGTTTGCGCCATGAGGCGCAATGACTTTGCAGGGGATAGCAGCAAGTCCAAGACCGACTTGACAGATGGAACATGGGAGATTCCTTTGTCCTGCAGTGGGCGTAGTCGGGCTGATGATGACGGTGATAATGTTGACACACAGGCCTGCCACTGACTTTGGGGCAACAAGTACTGCGCAACAGTCTGTCAGCTCTCAATACACCGCATCATACCCTCTTGCTCCACCTTGTCGAGCTCATTTCAAGTCTCGTAGCAGTATCGGTACATGCCAATATATGCTAAGATAATACGGTACAGTGTCAGACTCGATACAGATCATATGCTCTCTGGGAATGACCGGCAAAAAGGGCTGGAGGGACTTGACAAGGTGGTGCATCTGGTAGAGCTGGGGTGACAGTGCCGACAAGCTTAAAGGCAATGATAGCGGAATAGCCGAGAAGAAGCTGCTCTTGTCCATTACATCATAGAGGTGATGGTCTAGCCTGCCTCTCTAAGACAGCACCATGTCGAAGGTGTCGAAAAGCTTCAGAAATTGTTTCCTGGATTTGACAAGTTATTCACCACATGGCTTATCGAAGACAACTAGACAGGCAGGAAACGTACCTGGAACCATAGATACATACGGGGCACCAGAGTCCACTTTGAAGTCTAGAGGGTGCTTGTTGACTTGACCTCAACATAGAGCCCATTCAGAACCACCGTCGCAACAAAGAGGATCTAAGATTCTTCTTTGAGCGACACACTGCAGGAAATGGCCTCGCCTCCAGCAGTAGTGACAGACAACTTGGATAGCTGGGCATTTGGCCTGCCGCTGAACCTCATTTGCTGAACAGAATTGGCACTGCCCACCAAGGCTACTTTTCGAAACTCTACGGGCCTTCCCAAGGAATCTGCTGCTTGTGTGTGTGAACCGTCAGGCCGGTCCAGTGACGCAATGTTGCCGGAGTCCCCTCTGTCGCGTCGTCCACTTGTGTGCTGCGTTAAGTTTATGCAAAGTCGCCATGTTCACAACAGCTGCCATCAGCAGTTGCCTAGCGGTGAGGAACAGGCGTTGTTTCTCACATTCGACGTTTTCATCCTGATGTGCTCGCACGAGTGCGTCGTCCAGAGAGAGGCTCGAATGCAGCATAGCTTGTCCAATAGATGGGAATCTGTGAAACCCATGACAAAACGTTGGCATATAAGGCGCTCTTCTATGGCTAGTGACGGATAATTACACTTGCGCACCATGTTCAGAAAGTCCGTGAAGACAGCCTGCTTTCACCTGGTTGTTGGGTCTTCTTGCGAAACCAAGCACTTTTGTACACCCCGTTTACAATGTGCATGAAGTAGCTTGTGAACCACCTGGTAACTTCCGTGTAAGACCCGTCTTCAATGGACATAATAAAAGTGAGGACGATGCATGCCTGAGGACTCATGCTGTGAAGGAGGGTCCTAATTATTTATTGTCTCATCCAGGGCTGTGTGCATGCCAGTGCAGAAGGCATAGTCCTCGAACTGCTGTAACCTGGGCAGCCTCTCGCCGGCACCATCGAATGAGAATTGAGCCGGGCTCCAAAAACTAGCATCGGCGAGAGCAGGAACTGGAGAATCCTTACGGACCATGTCGAATGGCAGAAACCAGACATCCCACTTCTGACACCATCTGGAGGGAGGGTTCGAGGTTAGGAAGCCGAGGAGTGAAAATGCATGCTCCAAGGTTCCTCTAGAAATGACCCCGCTTACTTCCGACCCACGTTTTATGTTAGAGACTTGAGGGTGCATAAATAATAAGAAATGTCACATAAAATCGGCACAACACTGGACCCAAGACAAATGCCATTTTTTTATCTGACATTTTTTTTATCTCATATGAACCAGGCACTAGTCTACAATGTGTTTCTACTTCATCTCGTCCATTTTCTGTTTTCAGGTATGTCGATAGTTTTTTTGTTGTTTTCGATAAAATGTGCCCTGTGCCTTAACATGGAATTGTAGATTTTATTTTAGATGCCTTTAAGATGAATGCTAACAGACTAACTTTCACTCATGACCTTCAGACTAACAGTTTGCCGTTTTGAGATATTTCTTTAGCTGTGGAAAGCAATCACGTTTGTTGTGCATACTTGTCTCTTAGTACAAAAACGTTATTGCCTTATTATTTTGCGTATTCTGAGTCTGTTAAGTGTGGGATCATTGTGCATTACCTTTAATCTGCGTTGCACAGGTCATGTGTGCACATGATAAAGTTTAGCTTTTGCACTCAGATTGGCAGACTCGAAAAGGCTAGATTCCCTCGGACGGTCTTGATTAGCGTCGCCGAGTGCTTATTACGAAAACTGAAAATTAGTACTCAGGAAGGGTACTTGAGAGAATGAGAGCGTGAAAAACCACAAGTGCTGCCTTATGTGTACAAAGTGAGCCATAAGTTGAAAAAGGCGATTCAAAATAGCGAATTGTTTTTTTTTTTTTCTTTTTTGCAAAAGGAAAAGACTAGCCTTTTTCCTTTAAGTAGTCGTCTTTTTCTTCCAAGCCTTTGCTCTTGTATGCCAATTGAAAAAGGTGGTAATCCTGTAGTGTTTTCTGATCCCAATATTGAATAAACTAGCACAATTGTGCCAGAGAACCTCTCGTGCTCGGTAGCAAGGGTGCCAAAAGAGGCCTGTGAAACCCTTCGGGTGGTGCGCCATGGGTGCTGTCTACCGAATTCCCTTAAGCCACGGCAAGTCGGACAAACAGGATGAGGTATTAATGACCGCCTGAGGGAGCATGCCAATAGCATTGGTAAAAGTGATGGTGCACATCTTCCGGTGCACGTTAGGGCATGACCATGTAGGCCGCGTTTCAAGCAGACTCGGATTATTGGCAAGAGCAGGAACCAAACGGCGAAAGACACATTTCATGTTGGAAAGAGTGGGTCTGCCTGGGTTAGCAATAGTTCATTCGCATTATATCAATCTGAGATACCCTTCTGTAATTGACAGCTATCGTACTGACACGCCCAAGTTTTCTTCATTTGCAGCCTTGCTGGCAATCAGCAGTTGGTAGTTCACTGCTCATCTGTCTTTTTTATGTTGTTAGCTTTACACCAGACTTAATATGTTCAGCAAACTAAGCGACCAACTTCTTCAGTATCGTGACTGTATTTTCTAATTGCAACCACCCTTACTCGCTGTCACCTGCACAGTACGGTTGACCGAAAACGACACAGTGAAATGCAGTGCATTGGGTTCCACTATTCACCGAGATGTATACAACACGAAGAGCTCTAATCTATTGTGTGTCGATAGTTTTACAGAGGCATACCCTACGACACAGTGCAGAATACCCAAGGCAGATCGACAACAAACGTGGGTTTATTAAGCCCGGACAGCGATGACTTGAAGGCAAAGATGGGGCTCAGCAGATTTAGTATGCATGCATGCCTATAGTGCTACTGGTGAACCTAAGGAAGTGTACTAAGAAAAAGGCCGAAGAGCATCTTCCTGAAAAGGGCAAGCACCACAGTGCGCGTTAAAGCACCTCGTGCGCTAACCGTGCCCCCTCAACGAGCTGGCAACAAGTGTGAGCTGGGCGATGAGGGAAGAAAAGATTAGAAGCACACTCTCTGGGATTCTTCAAGTGGGCTGTGCATCGACTGTGGAACAATCACACGTAGGCTGCTGAAGCGGCCCTTTGTAAAGGCAGACATTCTTCGTTCCAACATTTGTGCCACAGAAATTATTCACTCCTGCAGTGACACAATCATTGAGGCAGCTTCAGTTGTGCTAGATTCTGAGCCGGATGGAACAACAGTGTGCCTCTCTCAGGTACATTGTTGTTGTTTCACTTCCCTAAATTGAGCCAGCAGAACCACAAAACACTTTATGAAAACCTGGGCACTAGTCAGCATTCTCTCTGTGCTTTCTCCTCAGCCTCTCAAAATAGCTCACTTGCATGGTGCCAGGACAAGAAGAACAGCTTCCCACAAGTCGAAATACGAAAGGCTAGAGGGACACTAAAGAGAGAAAATGACATTGATAAATTGCGAAAGAAAATCAAGGTTGAAGTTTCATTTCTAAGTTTCACACCATGATCTCTGCACGTGACGTAAGAAATTCTACAATGTATTTTCGTGACAGTGGCTTGATGAAATTTTCTAAAACTTTGTATGCTAAGTCTATGGCACTCACTGATGACAATGTACTTCAATTTCATTAATTAGAAGGTGCATAGGACCCAGTGGATGCCTTCAATACTTTTGACACCTCAGTGTCTGGTACGGAAATCTCAAGGTCGCGTCTCCACCTGCAGTTTCTTTTTGAGCGTTTCCTTGCTCACCAATGGTCGTGTCACGGTAAGAGTGTTGTTTGAGGGATTTTGATGTCCCTTTAACATCTTGCGTATATCGGCTTCAAAAGAAGGTAGGGCAACACCATAGAAACTTTTTGCTGTAGCTACTGACAACCAAACCAAGTCATTATTGAATGCATACCTAGTCTCCGTATCCTTTCCAATAAGGTTGATGACCACGTTGGAATACTTCATTGCTTTGGCAATGCTCAGTTCATCTTTCAGGTGAAATGGCTGCAAAGTAAACAAAAAACGAATATTGTCAGTGATGGCAAACTGCACAGATACTTGTGGAGGGCCAAAAAGATACAGCGAGTCCCAAAAAAGTTTGTCCATGATATGATGATGATGATATGCAGGGTGCCCAAGCCAGTTTTAATTGCTATGCTGTCACAATTCAACCAAATGCATGTCGCTGACTACTGCATAGAGTAAGTCGGACCATTTTTGGTGTTCAGCTTAACTGCTGCATGAGGCATGTTTTATTACCTATGTTCTGAAGCAACAAAGCTAAGTAAAAAATTCCAATGACCAAGTTATACACAGGTTTGCAAAACATGCATTTGAACAACTTGTAACTTTTCTTTAGCATTACCATAAAATGTCAAACAAGCACCCTTCCCCCTCGACCACCCAATCTCAACCTCCCTCAAACAAAATTCCAGATCACACCAAGCTACTGGGAAAATAGAGGAAGCTGTTCTCTCGAAACTGCATGAAAATTCAAGATCCCAGTGGCAAGCCATGATTTCTGAAAACAAAGTACACACAGGTTTTCTCAAAAGCCTTCTGGCTTTTGTTCATTACAGGTCACATTACACCAGTTCAAGAAACACAAAGGCAATGTGATGCGATTAGTCCATGGGAAGCATGGCATGAAAGCCCCTTCAATGATGAGCCCACAACTATGCAACGGCTCTGAGCAAGAGGCACGAGTCTTAGAGGCCTTGCCTTTGCTAACTAGTAGATCACAGAAGCCATAACCTTATTGCAAATACTAGTCTTGAGCGCCGTACACTCAATTTGAAATACCATCATTATGTGGAAAAGACCAGAACTGAAACTATGTCAAATAGTGCTCTATTGGCATACGCATTACATACTCTCAACTTTCCTTTAATTAGTAATAGTAAATGATTAATAGCTAGTAATTTATTATTACTGGTTTTGATAAAAGTTGAGAGTAGGGATGTGCTAATATAGCTTAATTTGAGCGAGTTTCGGCTCAGAATTCGGCTAATTTCGAAAAAAGGCTCCTCCAATGTTGGATATAGGGGCTCCGAGATTCAGCCTAGACAGTGTGTGATCAGGGTGCGGAGCATGAAAGGATGAGCAAGGGGAGGGACACTTCTCCAGAACACCTCACACGTTTGAAATCACTGCGAAATTTGAGGGGATGCCTGCTCAGAACTAAACGGCAGTGTTTTTCTGCTTAACACATATGCCTGCAAACTACAAGATATGCCACATGACATGGCTGTGAATGAAAAACTGCCTAAAGTTCTGCGTGCAAATTTCCCAGGTGGCAGTTCATGACAAGCAGACACCCCGGTTGTGCTATTGCCAACAAAATGTATGTCTTTGCACAGCCACTACCATCTGCCCCCTCATCCTTTCATTGGACACACCTCTGAAAGCCATTGTATAGGCAGTCTAGAGATAATGCTACAAGCAAAATTTCCCCTTCGAAACGCAAGTGATTGCCTAAGAAAAAAAACTTGCCCACAGTGCAATTTTCGATACTCAAGCAAAAAAAAAAAAACTATACCATTACAACTGACCAGAAGTGACACAGACAGCAGCCCAACAGCTGGCTGACCAATGTAGGTAAATTGTCTGCTCTGCACTTAGAGTTTTCTCTTTAAATGGTAACGACAAAACTACGTAAACATGCACAATGAAGGATGCATGACCACAAAAGCTTGCCAAGTCACGTCTTTAAATAACGACTGCCCACTTCATAGCTACCATCCTGTGCTGCTGTCTTGGAGAACTTGTTGGTTCACGATAAGTGATGCTGCCGGTTTACGCTTCGGGTATTCCCACTTCGTTGATAGACTACGGATACTAAAAGGCGTTTTCGATACCAATGCTCGGTTTAGCACACTCCCATTTCTACCGAGAGTGTGTCTACATTTCTGTAAACACTTGGCTGAGTACGCGAGTGACGAACTGTGGCACAACTAGATGTCACAAATTGCCACTGTCGCATGCTATCCCAATTCAGATGGGCACACATGGGTGCTACCAAGGGACACTTCTGAGTTGGAATAATGCCTCATACGAGCAACTAATGCCCAATTGACATGAAGATGCTGCATTCGTACACACCAGACTGGCCCTCAGGTGCCATTGTTCCCACTAGATGACGGTAGATGTGCTTGAGGCCAGGCATGTGTTGTCCCGGTAGACACACCGGAGCCCTCTACCATTACATGCGACTATCACTGGCAAGGTCCACTGTGAAAAGCCTCTGCTAAAATTGCCACATGTTGTTGTGCCTGCTGGCTCCATATTCGCACAAAGTAGATTCTCAAATTTTAGGCCATCAAGCAAGAACCAGTGGCAAAATGTTTTTAAGGGGTGCAGTATACCGTATTTACTCGCATATTCGGCGCACTCGCATAATAGGCACACCCCTAGTTTGGTCGCGGAAAATTTGTTTTTTTTTAATTCCGCGCATAATAGGCGCACCCCGAACTTGGCCGTGATCAGAAACGATTCTACCACCCCAGCGGTACAGTTGGAACGCGGTCCCCGTACCCTGAAGAAAAAAAGAAGGCAAATCAACGAGCAAATAAAAAAATTCGAAGTGCAACGACCTAACCAATGTGTTTGTCGAAAGAAAACTTGAAAAAAAAAGCGTCCATGAGCGAAAAAAAAAAAAACGGCTGTTCCATCAATTACTCATACCCCCCAAATCGCCGCGCTTTTTGGAGGTCACGTGTACAACGCGGAGGGCTCGATCGCCATCACCACCATCAGAGAAAAAGAAAGAAACGCCATTTTGCAAGCGGTGTGCGTATGTTGTGGTCGTGTATTGAACTTTGGTTCCACCATGGGGAAGTACGCGAGCTACACGGCTGGGTTTAAACTGAAGGCAGTGCAGTACGCGCTGGATGATGGTTGTGGGGTGCGGATGATTCGGACACCGAAAACGAATCCCCGCTCGGCGAGGATGAATGTGTGACCTCCGACTCGGACTCCGAATAGGGAAAAGGAGGAACAGCTACGACTTTTGTGTAAATAAATTTTACGTGTGTGTGTGCAGTTGACGGCTCTCGCTTGTTCATTAAAAGGTACGTAGGTATGTTTGTTTTATGCTGAATTAATTGGTAAACAATAAAGTTGCCTTTTACTTGACAAGTATGCAGATTTAAAGCGCGAGAACCGAGTTGAAAAAATTTTCGAAAATTTTACCCCGCGTAATTGGCGCACCCCTAACTTCGAGCCGGATTTTCTGAAAAAAAAGTGCGCCTATTATGCGAGTAAATACGGTATTTCCTTGTTTAGGTTGTATTGTAAACAAGTGTGGACAGAATGGCAAACATTTTCGACTGTTACAGGAGAGCCAGAAATGATGCTAAGAAATGTTTTTCAATTGGCACATTAACTTATGCCTGAAGCTGGCGTTGGCATATATGCTGTTGTCATCCCTGAACCTTTTTATGAAGCAGCAACAGAAATGGGATTCCACGTGACTTGGGTCTATGTCCAGCACAATACAACCAGAGCCATACTGCAAATGTCAAGGCATTTGTGCTGCGAACAAACTCTTGGTCCTTACTCTGCACTGCACAGAAGCATGCAGCAGACGAAACCAATAGGTTTTCTTCAAATTTATCGCAACATCTGTTAGTGAAGACATAATTGCCCCGCCCCTCAGCCTTGCTCCAGTGTATGCATTTTATGCACACGAAAAATGGGAAAAGTCTATACTGCTAATAAAGACTGATCCATACCTGCCAACCAAGCAGAATTAAAATTTGGGAGACCTCAGCAGAAGGAGAGGGGGGATTGTTTTTTTTTTTTTTTTTTTTTGCATATTTGACATTATTGAGACTGAGACATTTGCGAAGCACTGTCGTTGCTTTGAGACTACGAAAGCGTAACGATTCAGTCCAAACCTCCGCAAACTGTTTTCGGCATCTGCAGCCATTTTTCCAACGATGGCAGTTGTTCTTGTGCGTCCGCACCCTTATACTTCAGGAACATTTTTCGAAACAATGGTCCTGCATGATTACTAATGTTCAGCGGAAAGTTGTGTTTTACAAGAAATCCTGCGGATAGGCACTCTACGCTGATTGCACTGTTCTTGCAGCTCTTTTGGAAGAAACTTCCCATGTTGTCCTGCTCTTTTGCAGTACAAACATACTTCTGATGCTTCTGTGAAGCAATATGTCAGCCTTGCCACGGTGCGAAACACTTACATCACAGGTGCTCGGGGTATACAGAATCCATACTTGCCACCTTTCCACCAAGTCACAAAGCATAGAAACTCAGTTGTGCGAGAGCCCAGATAAAATTGCAAGTACCGCTTTACTTTTGGAACCATTATTGACCTTCCAACTGAACTGGCGGAAACATGCAACTACCAAAACCACGTAACCAACAGAAATGACGCCTAGGGATGTGGCGTAGCGTAGGCCTAGCGTATCCCGCAAGGCACACAGATGCAAAAGTTGTGGTCGCCTTCTTTCGGTAGGGTGGTGAGCAGGGCCGCCGGGCTTCGCCCAGATGCGCGGTACTGGAGTGCCTACATATCCTTAGCAGTACTTCACAGTATGGTTACAACTAACTAGAAGTGTAGGGGCCAGTGCTCTTTCGCAGCGCCGCAACTATTGCAGCAGAAAAGGCTAATGTACGCACATGATCTAAAAAAAAAAAAAAACAGCTCAGCTGTGGCAGTCAGTTTCTGGGAGACTCGAAATAGCATTTGTAGTATTGGAATATTAGGTCGAAATTCGGAAGTCTCCCGAAAAATTCGGGAGAGTTGGCAGGTATGCTAATGTATGCAGTCCACAATGTGTTGAAGCCCATTTTCTAGATTCTTTTCAGAGAAGGATTAAATCCATGGCAGGCTCACCATAAACAGCACCTGGCCAAGGTCACCACAAAGTTTCAAGCGCTGCATATCGTAGAGGTTTGTTCTCGCTGGCAACACAAGCTGGGTGCCAATCTTGCCTGCAAAAAAAGAAAATTCTTTTGATTCACAATTACAGTAACTACACAGTAGTCAGAAGCACCAGCAAAACATATCAACTGACCACTCAGTGGCACAGTAGGAGTACAGATGGGCCACTTTCAAACACCGCACAAAGTTTCAACCTACAGCTTTCCCATGCAATGCTAGATAGTTTCGTACACAATCAGGATACCTAATAATTTACAAACCTCATCCTATTGTCACAAGACTTCAGAAGTGCAGGGGTCTTTTAACGAAGACTTAGCCAGCTCTCGAAAAGCACGTCCATCGCGGCTGTCTCTCAAGCAAAGAAACAGCAGATGATCTTTCATTTTTATAGGGCGAGAGCCGCTCTTGCTCTCAACCCATTACATGCAGGTGGCATTATCCTCCCTTCCAAAAAAAAGCGAAAAAAGACAAAAAGAACACGAGAGAAAAAGGAAAAAAAACATAGCATCGCCCCGATGCTCTATAACATAGGCGCATGAACAAAAAAAGGAAATAGAAAACCCAGATAAAAGGAAAGTAGAAAACGAAAATCATGACAACGAGAAAAATAAGGTCAATAAACTAACAGGCAAGTTAAAAACTAACAAGCAAGTTAAAAAAATAAATAAAACACAAAAACGCGTGAATGATAAAAAAAAAAGTTACGAGCGCGCAATGAACGGTTCCACGTGCACAACACGAATTCAGTCCAACCTTGGTCGTGTCCTGGTCCATGCCTGCGGAGTTGTGTTTGGGACCACTTCATGGTTCACGTCACTGACGCGGAATAGCACTTTGTATGGGCCGAAATACCAACTAAGTAACCTTTCCCTCAGGCGTCAGCGGGTAACGGGCGTCCACACCCAATTTGGTCTCCAGGGTTGTAGAGCACTTCCCTGTGGCGGGTATTATGGCGACGTGCGTCTGCATGCTGCTGCTGGCCTGTGTGCAGTCGTGCAGGCTGTCGAGCTTCCTCAGCACGCTCTGCGAGTTCCTCAGCGTCAGTTGCACTTGTCATCGTCTTGACACGGTAGCATGAAGTCGAGCATAGTTTGCACTTCGCGGCCATAGAGAAGCCAAAATGATGTGAATCGCGTGGTCGTGGCGGTGTTATACGGGAAGGTCACGCAAGTGAAGATCTGCTCTCATCTTTTGTGCTGTACGTCGATGTACATTGCGATCATGTCTGCAAATGTCTTATTCAGCTGCTCGGTAAGCCCATTGGTTTGCGGATGGTATCCGGTTGTCTTTTGGTGTCTAATGTTGCTTCGTTCGAAAACTTCATCCATAAGCTGTGCTATGAATGCTGTGCCTCTATCTATTATTACTAGAGGCTGGATTTTCAGGCACTAAAAAAGTGTGTTTTAAGCACCAAAGACAGGCAGGTAAAATAACGTTTGAGGCCCTCAAGATCGCAATTATAAGCACAATAAATTTCTACAAAAATTTAAATATCCCAAAACAACGACGTCGGTGACTTGTATTTACGGCATGAAGCAAAAAAAAAAAGTATACTGTTTATGATAGCAGAAATGTACTAACGATTGAACATTGGCATGCATTTCCCGCGTGATTTGCAGTGTATGGTCTTTTGTTTTATCGTCTAGCATTGTGCGTCATGTGTCCACCATTCAATTAACACTCTCCTGGGTCTTTTTTGTTTCGTTGTGGCTGGGAAGGGCAGTGCAGGAGCAAATAACCAGACCACTGGTACCCAAGAATAGAGGGGTCCAATCGCATAGGACAGATTCCTCTCCTATCGGTGAACACCCTAAAGAGCCCATCACTGGGTTTGGGAATTTCGAGCTGACAAGCGTAATGATGCACTGAGCACTCACTCCGGATCATTCCTGTTAAGATTTGCAAAATGACAAGTCGCCGAAAAATGCCCAATTCTAATGAATGCCATTTTCCCTTCTCGCGGGCATGCACACCACGATCTAGGGAGTGACCTACAATAGCAAGGAATGGTCCAGTTTTTACGTCGCTCCTTTACGTTGACATTGATGGGCTGACACCGCATATCGTACGCTCTTCATCAGAACTTTGTTAAATACTAGCTATATCTAGAAAAACAGATGAAGGATGTCCTCCCTCTTTTATATCCTGCATTTTAAATGGTACGTCATTAAGAGCGTTGCACGTGACATTACTTGGCATGTGCGATTTGTGTGTTCTGTTGTGTAGCATGAATGATGAGTACTTTGGTTTGGGCTAGCTGCTTCACATCATTTTGAAAGAGAAACGCAAAGACAAAGAAAAAAGAAAGATAGCACTCTTTGTCTCTGTCTTTCTTTTCCCTGTGTCTTAGCAATGCCCTTCCGAGATGAGTATAACGAATGAAAGCTGAGAAAAATGATGAAACAAACACGCAAACATAATCTCAGGTTATGATTTTTATTTTTGTTTTGAATATTCTCGAAATGCTATTCACTAATTGGATCTCGTTTCGTGTCCGCCTCGGTGGACCAGTCGCTATAGGGTGCTCCGCTGCTGACCCGAACGCCACGAGTTTGTTTGTGGCCAAGGCAGTCACATCTAGATGGAGGCGGAAAATTAGATGCCCGTGTACAGCGTAACTTCAGAGCACGTTTAAGAACACCACATGGTCAAAATTTGCGGATACCTCCATTACGGTATCCCTCATATTCATATGTTTTTTTTAAATGCAAAACCACACATACTACCACTGTTACTTACTATATACTACTACTACTACTACTACTACTACTACTACTACTACTACTACTACTACTACTACTACTACTACTATGACTAACTACTACTAGTACCATCCCATTTCGCTTGCGTTCGTGTTCTCGTTGTTCCTACATCGTGCCTTCGCTAACCCTAACAACGCTTTGCTCGTATTTGGTGCGTAGCCTCTGAACGCAGTTTCAGCAAAGTGACGTGCCGTATCGCGGTCACAATACATGATCTTTGCTAAAGTACATGGACTGACTTATCCATTCCACAGAAACTGGTAATACACTACAGAGAACGCGGAGACGACATAACATCTATGGCGTACGTGCACAAGTAGACTGGGGCACATCAAGCGCGCGTAACCTTGCTTACGCATGTTGTTCTTGGTGCGTATTCATCATGTGATTCTCTAGCCCCGATGCCAAAGAGAACAGAGAGGGAATAAGTCTTGCGATGACTACATGGGATGAGAAGCGAGGAATTCAAGCTTGCTTTTTCGCATCATGCTTTGGTGGCTCGTAGCGAACCAATTTGAAAAATCACTGTGGTAGAATGCTTTTCATTGGGCACACAAGAACTTCTAGTGTCTAACTACAACCTATCATGTCACTTAGAGAGGGACGCCTAAAAAGTAAATTACAAACAAAAGCCACATGCACATCACATTTTTTACCTGAAGGTGCTGCAGCAGATGGGTTACAACGTCAACGAAAACACGCCTCCATTGACAACACACACTTTGTTCTCTTTATAAGCTATTTCATTCTGTCATGAAACTAACAAAAAATGAATAGAAAAATTATATCTGATACGGCATTCTAAAATCTTAATTACCATTGCGCAAAGAGGACTGTTTAGATACATTCATTTTGGAATGCGAGTTTCACCATGAAATGCTTAACATAGGAGCTCTAACCGCAGTTTAATTCCACACGACGATGGTAATTCCCATCCTAGTTCATTTTTCAGCTGTCATTTTTTAGTAATGGCTTAGGACAAACTTTGAAGCCTTGTTCCATATTTTTTCATGTTTGTCACTTAAAGACATATGACAAGGGATCTCATACGGAACAAGCAGATTCAAGCATACGGTGAATGTATGCTAAATACACCGTTGATTGTAAACACGCCGGCACCTGTCAGGCTTTGCTGTATAAACTACAACGATTTGGCGACCTTCGCCACTACTGAATCAACAAGAGCAATCCATGAATGGCCCTCCATAGTTTTTCATTCGTTCTCCAGCTACCCTCAACTGCCCAGAAAAACCCACTCCTTCTTTCCCACCGCAACGCCCAGGTTTTCAGGGCTGTTCTTCAGTTCCTTCAGAGCAGTGGATAACTGTCTGTAGAAGGCGGTCGCCACGTCCTCGGCCATAAACGTCGCTTTTAATTTCTTACTCCATCTTAATTCTCTCTCCTCCTTCCCCTGCAGACGCTGAGACGTGCTTCCACTTAGGGCTGCAGAAAGAGCGTCTTTTGCACTCCTCATGCTCTTTCTCAAATCGCTCCCAGCATGTCAGCTTTGTCTTCGTTCAGCTTTATTATAGTGTTTGAAAATATCAATGTTGCCTTTTTTACATGAATAACGGTTTAGCACCATGCTCGAAAACAAAATTTGGCCTTGAATAGCGCTCGTGTAGGCACTAATTTGGAAGATAGGCATTTATAGACACTATAAAAACACCCTCAAAGCCCTTCTTAACCTCTAACTCATGCTCATATATCAAAATGGCACGACAGGAACACAAGGAACAATATAGGCATTTGCCTATAATCCGGTCTCTAGTTATTACGCTAGAAGGTGCACCGTGGCTCAACACGATGTGGCGGATTCAAAATTGCGCTACCTCAGAGGTCGTGGTTCGTAGGATCGCCTGTGTCTCAGCGTAGCGTGTTAATAGTCGATCACTACGATCACCCATTTGTTACAGTTAGCAGACAGGAGAAATGGTCCGAGAATGTCCATGCTGACTTGGTCGAACGGAGTGTAACGTACTTCAATTGTCTGAAGTAAGCCAGCCGGCTTAACAGATGGTTGCTTTCGGCACAGGCATTTCCAACAGCCTTTGATATACTGTTTTACAGTTGCCAAAAGTCCGGGTCAACAGTACTTCTCGCTCACTTAGGTGTCCAGACGTGGGTTCGTCGTGGCAAGCGAAAAGGCATGTAGAGGCATCTCGCATGTCTCGAGGAACCACCAGGAGGTAAGTACGGTCATTCGAACGGGGAACACCAGGAGGTAAGTACGGTCATTCGAACGGACGTTTTTCTTGTATAGCACACTGTCTCGCAGGCAAAACGGC